CGTGCGGGTCAGGGCAGCTTGCCTCCAGGTCCGAGGAGATTGGTCGTGGATGAAACAAGCATTTGGGATGACTGGGTGGCGGGGGGAAGGCCATAAAAAAAACATTTGCTGGATATGCACGGCTAACACGACCGACAGGGACTTCAGGAGATGCGACGAGGAAGCCCCCTGGAGAGCCGAACGTCACACCCACGAGGGTTACCTTAGAGCAGCCGAAGATGAGATGCGGTTTGTTTCGACGATGTTCTTGTGGCCTGGCTTCCAGCTCTCCTACGTGAGTGTGGATTTAATGCACGTCGGTGATCTCGGCGCCCCACGCTTCGAACCAGATCCCCCAAACCCCCGCACTTCGGCAAATGCACAACATGCACGGAACACTAAAAACATACCAACAATAAAACACACACAACACACACACACATACAGACACACACACACACGCGCGAGTTGGCCGACTGTTTGTTGAATCCCCGCCCCAGGCATCGTGTTGTACCTCCTAGGTAACGTGTACTTTGACTTGTGGTTGTCGCTCGGCGGCAGCTCCACAGATAATGAAAGCAAGAAGAACAAAACTGTTGCGGCAAAGCTCCTGACGCTCATCAGGGTGGCTGCGAAGCAATCCGTGAAGGGAGGTCAGCCACCGATCAACGCCCTCACCCTCACCATGATCAAACAACCGAAGAAAGGCCCCAAGTTTAAGCTCAAGGCTGCAGAGGCTAGATACATGCTCCCGCTGACGCAGTTTCTGCTCGAGAACTTTTTCCCCAGTGCGACCGACCACGACAAGATGCGATTGCAGTGTGTCACTAAACTAGCGGATGTGTACAGAGAGCTTGACAACTGGACGCCAGGTGTATCCCAGGAGAGGGTTAGGTCGCTAGGTACCCAGCACCTTCTACTGTACGCGGAGCTGTCCATCGAGTCTTTAGAAGCAGGCAATGTTGAGTTTTGGAAATTTTTTCCGAAACATCATCTTTTCAATCACGTGATCGAGGACCAGGTCGACCTAGTCGACAATCCAAAACTCAGCTGGGCGTATAACGATGAGAGCGAAATCGGCGAGGCCGTCCGACGTGCCAAGCTACATCATTGCCTCACGTTGCATTCAGAGCTCGTGCGGCAATATAGGAACTGCGAGCTCGTCGACGCTAAATTTAATTAGGGAGGTTTCTTGCAGTTCGTGGCTGCAGCTCTTTTTTCTCTTGGGGGCCCTGGCGGTCGGGCAACCTGCGGTCGCTTATGCAGCCCAGAAGGCAGCAGGGTCGTGACAGAAACGTGACAAGAATTTGAAAATGCGACAAACACGCAACAGAAACATGACAGAAAACAGAAACGTGACATAAACGTGACAGACAACATAACAGAAACCAGAAACGTGACAGAAACGGAACAAAAAAACAGAAACGTGACATACAAAAGAAACGTGGTACAACAAAAAAAAGTGACAGAAACGTGACAGAAAACAGAAACGTGACAGAAACATCAGGCACGATCACAAACATAAAACAGAAAACAGTACCATGACAAGATACACAAATGCGACCAATAAAAACAACATGGCACTGCTGTCTACTCTGGTGCTGTCTACTCTGGTGCGAGCGCGCGCGGAGGTGCGTGGTCATTCACTGTCTCCTGCCAGTTTGCAGTTTTAAACCAGTGAATGCATTGTGAGGCTTCGTGTGAATAGTGCGCTACATTCCCGCACTTGGGCAATACGTGGTTGTTTTTGGTCTCCTGAGGGGAATCAGGAGAGCAGAGAGCAGCAACACCTTTCTCCCTCTTCCACGACGCCCCCTCTGTTTTTTTGTCTGGCTTCCTGGTGGCTCTTCGAAGCCGCGGCTGGGTCTGTCTCGAAATTCAAATTCTGGCCAGAACGCGCTCCTGGACAAGGGACGGCGGGGGTCTTTCCCTCTTCCCCGACGTCCGCCTTCTTCAGTTTCATCTCCCCCATCCTCTCCGCCATCCTTCCCCTCCTCCTCGTCCTCCACGTTCGGGTCGACTCCAGCTCAGCATGCTGTTCGCACTGCCAGTTTTGTTTTAGCTTTTCGATCGACGTCTCTCGACCTCTCTACCTCTCTCGACGTCCTCCGCCTCGCACCCCCTCCACCTCTCTCGACGTCCTTCGCCTCGCACACAGGATTTTAGTAGTTTACTAAATCTGTTGATGTGCATGTTATTGATGGTAAAAATAAGGAAATTACTAAAATTTTAGTGTCTTCTAAAATTTTAGTGAATCACTTCAGAACTTCTAAAATCTTAGTAGTTCTGTCCCTCTGGGTCGCCGGGTCGCCGGGTGCCGGGCGCTGGATGCCGGGTGCCGGGTGCCGGGTGCTGGGTGCCGGGTGCCGGGTGCCGGGTGCCGGGTGCCGGGTGCCGGGTGCCGGGTCCCGGGTCGCGGGTCGCCGGGTGCCGGGTGCCGGGTGCCGGGTGCCGGGTGCCCGGGTGCCGGGTGCCGGGTCGCCGGGTCGCCGGGTGCCGGGTGCTGGGTGCCGGGTGCCGGGTGCCCGGTGCCGGGTCGCCGGGTGCCGGGTGCCGGGGTGCCGGGTGCCGGGTGCAGGGTCGCCGGGTCGCCGGGTGCCGGGTGCCGGGTGCCGGGTCGCCGGGTCGCCGGGTGCCCGGTGCCGGGTCGCCGGGTCGCCAGGTCGCCGGGTGCCGGGTGCCGGGTCGCCGGGTCGCCGGGTGCCGGGCGCTGGATGCCGGGTGCTGGGTGCCGGGTGCCGGGTCGCCGGGTCGCCGGGTCGCCGGGTCGCCGGGCCGGGTCGCTGGGTGCCGGGTCGCCGGGTCGCGGGGCGCACGGACATGCTATCGTTCCAACGTTGGCCTCCTGTCCTTCTCCTCCTCCTCCTCCTCTTCCTCCTCCTCCTCCTCCTCCTCCTCCTCCTCCTCCTCCCCTCCTCCTCCTCCTCCTCCCCCCTCCTCATCCTCTCATCCTCCTCATGTTCCTCCTCTCCCTCCTCCTCCTCCTCTTCCTCCTCCTCCTCCTCCTCCTCCTCATCCTCCTACTGCTTCTACTACTTCTACTACTACTTTCTCCTCCACCTCCTCCTCCTTGTCCTCCTCCCTCCTCCTTCTCCTCTGGGGGGTGAGTTAGAAGATACGCGATGGCAACAAGTGGATGGCCGTCGTTTTCTTCTGAGGGTGATTCGGAGGATGTCGGTTTGATTGCAACATTGGTGCCGAGCCTTCGGGCCAATGACAGCACCCCAGCCGACGAAGCCGGTGTTACAGGGTTAGTCTCGGACGTTCGATGTCGTATCGAGTCTAAGGCGAGTGGTCAGACGTGGTCAACGGAATTCAAGGTTGAACGCGCCCAGGGGGGCCCTTCTGGGCCTCGGGGCTCGAAGAAACGGACCCGCGGTGCGAAATCGCGATTCACCTGGGGTCGAGAGTTTCCTGGTGCGCAGGTTGCACAAGATTGAACGGCTCAGGCGGTGTTAGAAACCACTTCCCACTCATTCCTCCACCTGCCTCTCTCCTTGCACCTACCCCTCCACTTCCTTTCGCGTGCTCCCAACACTGCCCCATCGATATCCCTCCGGCCATTCCCTCGCATCCTCATCCCCTCCATCTCTTCGCATTCCCCCTTCGCTTCGCTCATTCCGCCAGCGCGTCTCGCATCGCTGGGGTTGCCTGGTTGTGTGGGTTTGAGGCCACTCGGATGGCTCGTGGGGTCTCGTGGAAGGCTTCTCGGGGGCTTCTTTGAGGCAGGTGTTGGGCCTCATGGAGGCCTCCTGGGGACTTCCTGGGGGCCTCTTGGAGGCCTCTTGGGGCCTCTTTGGGCCTCTTGGGGCCCTTATGGGGCGCCAGGCTCGGGTTTTCGGATCGCGTTCCCCGTCTTGGGGCCCTCTTCGGACCGTCCTGGGGGCCTCTTGGGCCTTCTTCGGGGCCCCTTGGGCCATTTTGGGCGCCTCCTGGGGGCCTCTTGGGCCGTCTGGAGGCGGTCTTCGGGGCCTCGTGGGCCGTCTAGGAGAGACGAAGCGCCGAAAAGTTGAGAAGGCTAAATATGTTCAAAAACAAACGGGAAGGAATGAATTTGGCCTGTCGGGGCCTTGTCGGAAGTGCTGTTGGAGGCGTCTTGGCGGCCTCTTGGGCAATCGTGGGGCCATCTTGGGCATCGTGGGCCGATCTTTCGAGGACCTGAAGGCCTCTTGGACCGTCTTGGCGTTCCCTTGAGGACGCATTGGGCACCTCTTGGGCCGTCTTGGGGGCCTCCGGCATCTCTGACGGGCACCCGCCGGGGCCTTGCCGGGGACTTGCCGGGGCCTTGGCAGGGTACTTGCCGCGTCGGGGCCCCTAGGGGCCGCCACGCGCGCGCGAACTTGTCATATGGTTAGCTTGTTACCGGGGATCTTTTTTCTTTCTTATTTCTTATTGTAGACTCCTTCTTGTTTTTTTGTTTTTATCCTTGGGGAGTTTCTTATAAGAAATTTCATTTTTTACTGTTTTTAATATCACCTTTTGTGTTTGTTTTGTTCTTAACTTCTTATTGATTCGTAGTCTTCGGTCTTTTTTACCTATTGTTTTGTCTTTGCTTTTAATATAGTGTGAATTGTGTATAGATAGCCCGTTGAGCCGACGAATAACATTTCTATATCCCCTTACCACTCCTTTCCATTCCTCCAGAAACTCGTCTCCCATTCCGTCCCGTCTCCTCCCGCCCCTTCCTGCCTCCTTTTCCTCCTCTTCCTCCTCCTCCTCCTCCTCCTCCTCCTCCTCCTCGTCCTCATCCTCGTCGTCCTCCTCCTCCTCCTTCCCCTCCTCCTCGTCCTCCTCTCCTCCTCCTCCTCCTCCTCCTCCTCCTCCTCTTCTCCCCTCCCTCTCCTCCTCCCCCTCTTTCTCCTCCTCCTCCTCCTCCTCCTCCTCCTCCTGCTCCTCCTCCTTCTCTCCTCCTCTCCTCCTCCTCCTCCTTTTCCTCCTCCTCCTCCTCCGTCTCCCATTTTGGCTCAAGGACCCAATGCGACTCAAGGACCCACTGAACTCTCGCCCACTACTTTGTGGCGATGGCTGTGACGCTTGAGAGCATGGGTGCTCTTCTTGACACTAAGTTCGAGGCGAACTTGGCACCGATCAGTGCACAGCTTACGAAGTTGGAGGGGCGGCCAGTGCCCGCGACCCCCCCGAGTCAGGAGGCCGTGCAGGCCATGGTGCAGGAAGCGGGCGGGTGTCGCAAAGACATAAGCCGCGCCGACTACCGCAACCTGATCGTGAACGCGCAGAACAAAGGCCGGCGCGACTCTACCCGCCCAGGAGCCCCTGTTCCTTTGGCCACGACTGGAGTCCAAGGAGGGTGGGACCAGACCGCGCAGCGCTACTTGGAGGAGGCGGTTCGCAAAGGGCCCACTCCGCGCGGCAAGTGGAAGAGACGAGGGCCCAGCGACTCCAGCGAGGACGACCACGAGCAGACGGAGAAGCAGGAGCGAAAGGAGGCGCTGACCGCGGCGCTGGCAAGGGCGACAGCGGCGGAGGCGAAGGTGGAGTCCTTGACCCGCCGCCTGAAGGAGCTCGAGGGCGTGGACGAGGCTGGTTGGGGGGCACCAACCATACACGGAAACCTAAACAACCCCGGGCGGGGAACGCGAAACGTTCGGAGTTTGGACCACCAGCCAAGCCATGCTGGAACGGGACCCGCAGTGCCTCGCAGGCACTGCTTTGATAAAGAACACCCTGTCACAAGCGCATGTCATCTGTCAAAAATCATAGCGAAAACCTTGAGTTGCTAAGAGACCATCGGCGCGGAGGCGCCAGCAGGAGTGAGCGGTCCTACCGTTCGGCGCGCCACGTGGACTCGTGGTCATTGGAAACCTTGTCGGCCTTGAGCCAGCGTGGCTACGGACGATGATGAGGAGGAGGACGATGATGATGACGATGACGATGATGAACACGATGGCGGTGGCCCCGGTTCCGGCGATGGGATAGGGCATTCGCGCGTATGGTTGGTTCCCCCGACAGTGGAACAAGGGGCTCTTGGAAGAGAACGCCAAGCTGCGCTTGTTCTGGGAGAGCTGCCAAAGCCCCGACTGCCCCCAGTACTCGGACGACTCTGACGACGAGTGAGCGCCCCGTTGGTCCGGTTGGCCCGGTCCTGCGCGTCCTCCTCCTTCCACCTCGCCCCTCCGCTCTCCTCCCTCCCCTCCCCCCCCCTCCCTCCCTCCCTCCCTCCCCCCTCCCCTTCCCCCTCCCTCCCTCCCTCCCTCCCTTCTCCCTCCGTCCTCTTCCCTCCTTCTTCTCTCCTCCCTCCCTTTCTCCTCCCCCCTCCCTCCTCCGTCCTTCTTCCTCTCTCCTCCTTCCCCCCTTCTCCTTCCTCCCTCCCCCCTCCCTCCTCCTTCCTCCCTCCCTCCCTCCAGCCTCATTTCTTTCCTCCTGCCTCCGCCCTCCTCCTTCCTCCCCCTCCACAATTACTCAATACGAATACTACTCTCCCTCTTCCCCTGATGGCGCCCTGGGAATTTTCCCGGAGAGGCTTCGCTGAGAGCTAGGGCTTAAGATTAGAAGCCGGACGGTGTTGGTGCCCGCCAGCAGCGCCCATCGCCGCGGTCCAGAATTCTCGCAGCAGCAGCTCGTTCGAAAAACCCGTCAACGTGTCCGGGAGAGCTTCCGGCAAGCTTCCACGCGTGCCGCACGCATGGTGCAGGCACGCGTGGAAGCGTGTTTTTGGCAGCGCTTCGGAAGCGGCTGCCGGGAGCCCCCCCGAAAAAAAAAGAAGGGACATAGAAAGAAAAAAACTAAAAATGGGAAAAAAAAAAGAAAAAGTTCAAAAAAGAGATAAATAAATAAAACAAAAACAACTAAAAAAAAAAAGCAAAATAAAAAGAACAGAAAAAAAAGGAACAGGAAGGAAAAGACAGAAGCCAAAACCAAACAGCACAAAAAAAAAGAAAAAAAGAAGAGAGAAAAAAGAAAAAACAAAGGCACCAGAAAAGCTTCACGCGTGCTTCCGTGGGCTTGCCAGGAAGGTTTTCCGGTGTGTGTGTTCTCTTTGCTCTCCGGGTTTTGGACGCTATCAAGTTCGACCCCCCCCGCGTAATGTTTTTTTTTTTTACACGCAGGATTCCCGGGAGTTGGGTTTTCGCCTGCGTTTTTGTTCAAAATGCCGCTCTCGCTGACGCGCCGGCCTCATTTCTGCCCCCGAATCGTTCCGAATCGTGCTCCCGCTGCAGCGTGGGCCTCATTTACGGATCGGCGTTTTGCCTCCGTCGTTCAGGATGGCGTTCTCGCCCCAGCGCGGGCTTCTCTCTCGCGCACCCATCCGCCCGCCACCACCGCGCCGCACCACGCCCCGCCCCGCCGCATGCACGCCCACCGCTACTTCCACCCACCGCGCGCACGCACGCACGCACGCGCACCACCACCGCGCGCCGCCACCACCACCGCACTACCCCACCCACCACCACCACGCTACACCGCGTCACACCACATCACACGCGCGCGCACACAGACACACACGCACGCACGCACGCACGCACGCACGCACACACACACATACACACGCACACACACACACACACACACACACACACGCACGCACGCACGCACGCACGCACGCACGCACGCACGCACGCACGCACGCACGCACGCACGCACGCACGCACGCACGCACGCACGCACGCACGCACGCACGCACGCACGCACGCACGCACGCACGCACGCACGCACGCACGCACGCACGCACGCACGCACGCACGCAGACAGGCAGAAGCAGAGGCAGCATTGCGGCAAATTGGAAAGAAGGGAACGCAGATGCCAGGTCGTGCGAGTTTCGTTTCCGAGTGTACACTCTCGGAGCAGGTGTTCAATTCTGCACTTTCCGTGAGGAGTACTGCCCGTCCTGCAAGTATTATTTCATTGGCAATTGGAAATACAAGAAAAATGCAGGCAGCGGCGGTCGTGCAAATTTCGGCAAGATGACTGATATCACCACCGTGGTCACGCAAACTGCTTTGCCATATGTTGTGGTGCCCCGTGAGAAAGCATGGCACGCTGTCGACCTACAGCTGATGCAGTTCATCACTGATGACTTGCACCATAGCGGCGGCACGTTCACCTCCGCAATCCACGCGTGGGCGGGTAAGCATCCTGAGCAGGCACAGCAGAACCTCATTCTGGGCGAGGATATGACACAGACGTGCCACACGCGTGTGCGTCTGGAGGACGCGTGGTACTTGCACAACGCCATCCGTTTGGCAGGTGCCGGCGCTGGGGGCATTGGGTGGTCGTTCGCGCCAGACGGCATAGAAAGCGGCCTTACGAGCATCGCGGCATGTGTGCGTCAGGCGCACTTAACGCGTGTCGCAGAACACGTGCGGACGTGTCCGACATGCGTCGGCAAGCTTGTCGTTTTGCTTGATGGCAAGCACGGCGCCCGTCGATTAATTTGCGGCGGTTTGGAGGGGTATGGACCCATGCAGGGTCTGGAACTGGAGCTGTGCACAGGCTGCCAACGAAATGCCCCAACGAAGCAGTTCTTCTGTAAATGGTGCCGGCCGTCGACCATAGAGCAAGCGCATGTGATCCCCCAGGAGAAGATCTTGGGGATCGCTGCTCCCGGATCGGCGTCCAGCGGCGACTCAGCGCTGCGCTACGTGGTGCGATGTCACGACCCCGACTTGCCCGAGCGGCCCTTCGAGGCGCACTTACCGCGAGCCGAGGTGCACAAGGAACTGTTGGCGGAATTCGAGAAGTCGCTGCTTCGGAACAGAGGGGACCACGGCAACAAGAAGACACGCCCCGCGTGGATCAAGGGGGCCCGGCAACTTTCGCGCTGGCTGACGAAGCAGTCGTCGGCTTGCGGGCCGCCCAGCTCGGCCGGGGCGAGTCGTGGCGCAGACGCCCAGAGAGGAGGCAAGAAGGCTCAGCGCGGACCCGCTGCTAAGGTTCGAGCCCCGACGACTGGCGGGGCAGCGAGCAAGCGGGGCAAGGCTGCGGGCACTTCGCGCCGAGTAAAAAGAGCTGGCGTCGGCAGAGGCCCGGCCGCCACAGCGCCGAGGCAGTCAGCTCGCGCCAAGTCGACGAAGCGGCCGGCGGCGGCCGACGTGAGCAGCGACGCCAGCAAGTTCCGCTCATTGAGTAGCCGCTGCAGGGGGTGGCTAGCCCTGGACGACAAGCAGGAGGAATCCATCCAGGCGCGCGGCGTTGACAAACTCCACGGAAGCAACAGAGTCAGACGTTGCACTGGCGGCGTCGTGACAGCAGTGACATCGTGCGGCTTGTTGGCGGACTGGATGGAGCTCTTCCGAGGCGAGTCCATCGAGCTGGTGTATGCGTTCGCGCTGCGGCTTCACAAGGACTGGCGGCGGCGCCTGAGGTTCTGCTCATGCCAGCCGCCCCCCTTCCAAATCGGCAGGCGTCGAGAGAAAAGGGGGGCGGTGGTGGGGCGAGGGGGGGGGGGGGGTGGCAAATCGGAGGGGTGGAAAGGTCGAGAAAGGCGAAAGAAGGAATGGATAGCAGGGGTATGAAAGAGAGGAAGTGATATATAGAGAAAGAAAGAGAGAGGGCGACGAGGAGTGAAAAGGTATGTATATATATATATATATAGAGAGAGAGAGAAATAAATAAAGAAAGAAAGAAAGAAATAAAGAGAGAAAGAGAGAGAGAGAGAGAGAATATATATAGAGAGAGAGATAGAGAGAGAGAGAGAGAGAAACGAGAGGGAGAGAGAGAGAGAGAGAAAGAGAGAGAGAGAGAGATAGAGAGAGAGAGAGAAACAGACAGAGGCAGTGAGAGAGAGAGGGGGAACAAAAAAAAAAAACAAGAGAGAGAGAGAGAGAGGGAGAGAGAGAAAACAAGAGAGAGAGAGAGAGAGAGAGAGAGACGAGAGACGAGAGACGAGAAACGAGAGAGAGGAGAGCGAGAGCGAGACTAAGGGCCCCCCTTTCGGGGGTGGGCGGGGCGGGGTCTGAGCAAGAGCGGGCAGGCGCCGGCGTCCACTGAACAGGATGCCCGCGAGCTGGGCTTCGTCATTGCGGCTCTGGGATACGATAATGCTTGCAAGCTCTTGTCGCTTCAAGGAGAAAACGCATCAAGGAGCTGGCGTGGGTGGCCCCCCCCACCCCACCCCACCCCCGCCCCCCCGAACCGCCCCCCGCCCACCCTGAAGGTCGCGCTGGGCCGTAGACCCGCGAGGCCGAGATCGCCGCCGAGAGAAGCAGCCAGGGGTCTTCGAGATCGCCGCGCGCCCAGCGGCAGGGGGGAATTAGAAAGTGAAGGGGCTGGGGGAGGCGGCGGGAAAGAGTGGGGGAATCTCAGAGCGAAAAACCTTCAGCGCAAGCAGCACTGTAGCGCTTCAGACATTCGATCAAACAGCGACGTCAGCACTAGCAGCGCCGTCGGATCCGCGGGCACAATGTCTTCGGCACCACAGGTTGCCATCATCATGTCGCCAATCAATCGACGCAGGAATCCGCATCAAAGTCACCATCGGTCTGGCGTCGGCGTCGACGTCGACGTCGTCATCTGCCTCGGCATGGGGTTACGTCGCAAGAGAGTGCATCGGCGTCAACGCCGCCGGGGGTGCGCACAGAAACACACGCATCACCGCCATCACCGTGGATCTCAACAGCAACACCAGTATCAAACTGTCGTGGACCTCCCAGGGGGGCGCTGCACGGCGCCGCGCACCCAGAAACCTTCAGCGTGAATGTCAACATCTACCATGCAGCGGCTCGCGCTCAGCATGATGTTTGGCTTGGCCTTCAGTGGGGCCTACGTTGCAGCAGCTCCGAATGCCCGCCGTTCAGGGCGCGGCGCTGATGCGTGCCAGCAGGCTCCCGCATTGACGAAAGGGGAGATTCGGACTGTGTACAGGATCTTGGAGAGCCACAACCCATTCCCCGAGCAGGCAGTGCGGCGGGCAACGCCGCTCACGTGGGCTGTGGCTTCGGCCCTGGGACAAGCGACCTCGCTGCATGCGTCGTGCGTGTGCGTCCACCTCATGATTCTGGTGGCCACAACGCTCGGGGCAGTTCAGATCAAGTACGGTGGAATACTATCCCGACACTGCAAGCTGCTCATGCTCCAACATGGCCAACCTGGGGATGGCAAGTCGGTTGCGCTGTGGTTGGACGTACAAGTGCTGGCGTTCTTCGACATGATACGGGAGAGGCGCGCCAAGAAAAAACACGACGAGGCCTGCCAGAAGCACAAGGACGACCCAGAGAACCACCCAGAGCCAGCGAAAAAAGAACACGTTAAAGACACCATCTTCAACATGGGGACCTTCATCGGCCTCGGGAATTTCATGCAGGCGCAAGGGGAGACAGCATTTCTTGCTCTACACGAGGGGAAGACATGGTTACCGCAAACCTTCGACAACGGCCCAGGCGGCGGCATCGACGACCTGAACCAAATTCACGATCATGACATGTACAAGAACCATCCTGGGAACACGCAGAACCGATTCCTAGTGCGAAACCCGCACTTGTGCGGAGCGGTCATGATGCACATCGAAGAACTGTACGACCAGGCGCAGAAGCCCGACACGACCGCGGGCATGATGCGTTTCCTGATTGGCCACTTCCCAGCTGTTGTTAACAAAATCCGTCCAGATGTGCCGCCATCTCAAATTACGCGCCTCCTGCAGGACGACCCGGACTACTTCAACGACCTTGACTACGACGACGTCGTAACCGCCATTGGCAAGATCATGCTGGTGGCATCGGCGCTTTATGTGCGAGGCGTAGAGCGTGCGGACGAGAAAGACAACAACAGGTACTCCAGGGTGCGGGGGACGCACTTCCTGCCGTGGAAACCAGACGTGAAGGACCACTGAAGCAAGCAATTGAACAGGACAGCGGACTACGTACGGGAGGAGGCACGCGCGTCTAAAGGCGCAGAGGAGAACAGCGAGCATGCCGCTACGCGGAAGGACATGACGAGAACGCTCCAGTTCATCCCCCCGGTGGACATTGGGGAGAAGGTCATCGACTATTTGTTGAAGAAGGCTGGGAAGACGTCGGAGATGGTCAAAGAGATGACAGGCGAGGATATCGTGACGTGCCTCGGGAAAGGCACCGTGCCCCATGACTTCGTTGACTCTGTGGACGTGACCGCGATCGCCCCAGAGATGCACGCCGCTTCGCGGGGGACACGGCCGGATCGAATGTCTGTCTGTTTCCTCTCCTCCAGCCCCCTCCCTCTTCTCCTCATCCGCCACCTCCTCCACATCCTGCTTCTGCTCCTCTTCGCCCTCGTCCATTTTCTGAAAGCTCTCATGGAGCAATTCTAGGGCCGTCTTGGGGCGGTCTTGTGGCACTCTTTGATTTTCCTTGGAGGCCCCCTAGTTCCTTGTCGGGGCTTCTAGGGGTGAAGCCGAATTGGGCTTTCTGGGGCTGCGCTTGGTCGTCTCTGGGGTCGTCTTGTTCCCGTCTTGGGGACCTCTCGCCCCTCGGGGCCCGCTGAGGCTGTCCAGGGCCCCATCCAGAGGCCTTCCTGTGCCCACTAGAGGCCGCTTTGCGGTTGTCCTAATTAAGGCATCGCGGAAATCTTGGGACGTCTCGGGGCCCCCGCGGAACGGTGCCCGAACGGGTGGGCGGATTGCAGGCCCTTCTGTGGACGTGGCGGTAGCGTTGGGGGACTGGTTCCCGGGCAACTTTCGCATGAGTATTGACGCGAGGCAAACGGCGCAGACGTTCATGCAGGAGCGCGCCAGGCTAGCAGCCATGCCTCCTGCCACGCTGGCGTCCATCGAAAAGATTGTCAGCCCATTGGTGTGCGCGAGGGTGAACCTCATGTCGACCCTCCGCAACGTCGCCAAGAATTGGGACATGAAGGCCTTCGCCCAGAATCCATGCACGACAGAGGTACAGATCCACGCCGTGCACGTGGACCTCATCATCTTAACCATGATGGGTTTCCTGGCAGTGGGCCCTGGACGCGCGGGCCTCGCAGCGTACGCGCAGGACAGCGAGAACTTCGTCAGGGCGGCCAACAGGATGATGGACTGGGACCCGGACGTCTCCCTCGAGGAGTTGAGGCAGCTCGTGCCGCAAGGTGCTGACGACCGGGAGGAGGGCGACCGAGCGGTTGCAGACAGGCTCCGTTGCGAGTGTCAATCCTGACCGTTATCTGCATCCTGATTCCATGTGTGTGTTTGGGAATTCGGCGTCTTGGCCCTTGCGCCGCCTTCTCAACGCGCACCGTGCCAAGTAGAAACTGAAACACGAACATTGCCAACGTGGGAAATGTTCATCCATGCAGAGGAAACCCAACAGCAAATGATCAGGATAACGCGCAGGATTGGCAAACGTAGGCTCTGCCACGGTTTGAAGGACCTTTTAGACGGCAAGGAAGTGGACTTCGTGGCGCTGCAGGCGGTGGAAGCGCCCTGCATCGAGAATGCACCGAAAGAGCCCATCCCCGCGTCCGAGGTCGCTGCAGAGCCGCCCAGGGGAGCCGCGGGGTCTGCGGCGCACAACGCACCAGCGCACGGGGTGGGTGGGCTGACCCAATCCGCGCCTGCCGGCAACGAGGCCGAGGGTGCAGAGGCGCCGCCGCAGAAGAAGCTACGCGCCGAGCCGCCCTTGCAGCAGGAGGACTTCAAGAAGGATGCCGGCATCGTGAAGAAGGTGTTGCTGTCGGCGATGCAGTCGACGCAGGATCCGTACAAGCTGTCGAAGAACGTGAATTCTTTCAATGGCAACTCCGACGCCATCGAAGCGGCGATTCGCCTGGCGTTCCGCTTCATGGTGTCGGCTGGCCTGGCCGCGTGGAATCCAGCTGAAGGCAAAGGCGTTTCCATTCGGAGCCCGCCCCCCGAGAACGCCGAGGACGTTTACAAGGAGCTCCAGGAGAGGCTCAGTTTGTCAGCCAAAGTCCTGCGTAAGCTGCAGGAATCCATGGGCGTGAAGACTGAGGCAAACGAGTTCAACTTCGAGGAGTTCAAGCGCGTGAGCGCGCTGCTCGGCGACAGCCTGCAGACGGCGTGAGCGCGCGCAGGATAGGTAAGTAGACCAGGGTGCCTCGGTCCAGAAGCAGTGCACACGCAGATTGGTTATATTTTCAAGCTCCGCGCAGCTTCTAGGGAATGCCGCTGGGGCTGGCGGGGGCCCAAAGGCGAAGTGCCACCCAGACGCGCGGCGAGCGCCGTGGGGAAGCGCGCGTGAGCACGCGGCAGCCCGAATACGGCCCAAGATGGCCGCAAAACGGTCCAAGATGGCCACGAGACAAGCCGAGAATGCC